AACGAACGTAATTCCTCTATTCACTAATAGATAGACCTATAGTTAATAAAGTAAGAACCGAATATATGTTTTAAAAATCTGATGTGTCCAACACATGACTTTACTATCTAGTTATTACAGGCTCTTTTCGGTTATTTTGTACAACCTAGTGTAGCACCTCTGTAAATGTTAAGAGGTTAACTTAATTTATACATTTTCCATATATATTCATTGCCAACGAAAATACTGAAAAATTAAAATTTTATACTTTCTAATTTTTCCATTACGGTTCATTTTAGAGAAATCATGTAAAAAAACAAAAATTATTGAGATCGATATCGCAAACATCTTTTAGTTTAACAATTTTCTTAAAAATCAGAATTTTTTACATTTTGTAAAATTTCTCGAATACGGACCATTTTAGGAAAATTTTGTATGGAACAAAAATTATAGAGAACAATAGCATAAGTATTGAAGAATTTTCTTCTCCAAACATAAATAACAGATATATTTCATAAAATATAAAAATGACCCCCTATAAAGTACCCCCCAGATGTTCCGACTCTGCCGAAAATCTACCTCAAGCCGGAATGAAGCTTAAGTTTAAAATTTAATAATGATTTTTTCTTTATCCGTTTTTTGAGTTTTCTTCAAAATTCGAAATTTACACTTTTTCTGAAATATCTCGAATACGGTCCATTTTAGAGAAATTATGTATAGGACAAGAATTGTAGAAAATTATATCACAAACAACTTTTATTTGAACAATTTTCATTAGGATTTGATTATTTTAAATTTTGTTAAATTTCTCGAATACGGTCCATTTTAGGAAAATTTTGTATAAAATAAAAATCTGTGTCCAACACATGACTTTTCTATCTAGATATTACAAGCTTTTTCCGGTTATTTTGTACAACCTATTGCATGACCTTTGTAAATGTTTAGAGAAATCATGTAAAAAACCAAAATTACAGATAACGATATCACAAACAACTTTTAGTTTAATAATTTTCTTAAAAATCAGAATTTTGCACATTTTGTCAAATTTCTCGAATAGAGACCATTTCAGGAAAATTTTGTATAAAGCAAAAATTATAGAGAAGTAACGTTTGATTTACAACTTTTAGAATTATATTTCAAACACCAGAAAATATGACAATCATACCCTAAGAAAATTACAAATAATAATTCTTAAATATTTCACCTTTCTTCCAACTTTTATTTTGAAAGTCACAAGACGAACGTTATTAGATCAAATAAATAATTTGTATAAATATAAGGACACTTATGCTTAATACTGAAAAAGATAGTAGAGCAGAAACAGAAAAAGTATGAAGAATACTTGAAAATATTCAATCAATTTGAAATATAAAAGTCAAGAGAACAATAAAAAAGTTTGTAGAAACATGTGAACACCTAAGCTCACGATGCGACGACGGGGACGACGACGACGACGGGGACGACGACGACGAGGATCAAAATTATTTTTAGAATTATATTTCAAACACCAGAAAATATGACAATCATACCATAAGAAAAGTAATAATAATTCTTATTTATTCGCTAGAATGAAAGCGATACGTTGTTTTCGAAAGAATAAAACTGACTGCGCCAATAAGCTTAATTTAACCAGTGGAAAATATAGACTGGTAAATTAACTCCGAATCCATAATACAAAGTCGTATTAAAGTAAAACACGTACAATAAACAAACATTGCAAGTCGGTTTTTGACGGCTACAAAGCAAGGAAATAACGCCGACAACACCAGACAGATATAACAGACCAGTCACAACTCACAGCTTATACAATAAGCTGTGGACCAGTCGTTGCCGAGTCATCTCCTCACATAATGGAGGTAATCTGGGACTTACGTATGATTATATTGCGCAAAACGAAAGATCCATTTACATGATATTTTATGAATACATAAATCCTTTGCAGTAGAAGCTATTGTAATAGTTAAATAATATTTTTAAAAAATATTTCCAAAAATACTGAAAAAGTTAGTAGAACAGAAACGGAAAGCTAAATCGACCACATGGACACTTTCATAATCCTGAAAATTGACAAATATACAGTGTGTCCGTAAAGTATGGAACAAATTCATTTTTAGCTAAACAGACCATTTTAAGAAATAATCCTGAAACACGTCGATTTTTGATTTTAATTTACCATATTTTAAAATAATAATCTAATATACAGGGTGAATTACATTCGAGTAATGACGTCACCGTCATTTTTTTTAAATGGAACACCCACATTTTGTCTCAATTTTCGGAATACTCTAGCTGAGCTGATTCCAAAAATGTATCACATGTTGATTCCAATTGGTACAGGGTGGGCAAAAATACAATAGTTTTGTGTGTGCTCATAAAGTAACGCGTAACATTCTTTATTAGTTAAATTAACAATATTATCAAAAATACTTATTGTCTAGCGGACAGAATATGATGAAATACATGACTTTATAAATGTTCGAACTGCAGCCCTTGCTGTATTTGACAGTTACCCAAACGGTGTACAAATTCTTGTTGAACCTTGTTTATTGTTGTCCGAATTCTCTCTTTTATTTGCTGGTTTCGTTTGATACACAACATTCTTCAGATGGCCCCACATAAAATAATCCAAAGGATTGAAATTTGGTGACCTCGCTGGCCATTCGATAGGTCCACGTCTACCAATCCACCTGTTCGAAAAAATTTCATCTAGATACATTCTAACATCTACAGCATAATGTGGAGGTCCACCATCCTGTTGAAACCATAAACTTTCATCACAACCTCCAGGATTATGTCTGCTGGGAAACAAATTACGTAAAGTAGGTACGAGATACCCCCTTAAAAACTCAAGGTACGTTGCCCCGTTTAAATTACCTTCGATAAAGTAGGGTCCGATGATTCGATTTCTTACAATTCTAGCCCATACATTTACCTTTTGCGGGTATTGTGTATGATGCTCATGCATCCAGTGGGGGTTTTCTTTTGCCCAGTAACTACAATTCTGACGGTTAACCTCGCCATTTAACGTGAAAGTGGTCTCATCAGAAAAAATAATGTTTTGTATCAAGAGAGGGTCTCGGTGACATTTATCCATCATTTTTTCGCAAAATTGGATTCTTCTATCGGGATCATCTTCGTTTAATTCCTGCACAAGTTTGATTTTATAAGAATGCCATTTTTCAAGCTTTAATAGTTTGTGTACCGTTGTTTTGCTAACACCAATATCGCGACTTTACGCACAGAAGTGTGCGCGTCTTCTTCAAAACTAAGTAAAACATCTAATGCTGTATCAGCATTTGCAGAGGGACGACCTGATTTGCGTACATTTTCAACCGTACCAGTTTCTCGAAATTTCTTTTCAATCTTACTGACTGTTGAACGCGTTATAGGTCTTTCTGGATATTTATCATTAAACAAATTGCACACTTCCATCTGAGTTCGCGATCTGTCTCCATACCCAATCATCATAAGTATTTAAATTTTTTGTTTTACACCTAACTCCTTTTCTAATTCAAATTAAATCTAAGCAGTAACTAAAAATTCACGAATACCAAAAATATTGTAGTACTAAACTGTCACTGAACATCAATAAATTACTAAATAAATAATGACATTTCACGAAAAACTAGACGACTATGTTTTTTCAAAATTGATAAGAAATAATTTCTTTCATATTCTGTCTGCTAGACCACAAGTCCACCCTGTACCAATTGGAATCAACTTGTGATACATTTTTGGAATCAGCTCAGCTAGAGTAATCCGAAAATTGAGACAAAATAGGGGTGTTCCATTTAAAAAAAAATGACGGTGACGTCATTACTGGAAAGTAATTCACCCTGTATATTAGATTATTATTTTAAAATACGGTAAATTAAAATCAAAAATCGACGTGTTTCAGGATTATTTCTTAAAATGGTCTGTTTAGCTAAAAATGAATTTGTTTCATACTTTACGGACACACTGTATATTATCTATTAGAGGGGTCTATTCTGTAACAATTCCTTTATATTTAACGGCCTTTAAAAATATTGGCGGCCTTTAAAATATTTTCGTATTCGTTAATTTACTTCTGTCATTACTTAAACAGATTTCTTTAAGATCGTTCTTTAATATATTTTAAAGATCTGTTTAAATAATGACAGAAGTAAAGAAGAAAATATTTTTAAAGGCCGTTAAATATAAAGGAATTGTTACAGAATAGACCCCAGAGTCTATTAAAATGGAATGAGCAGGTTCAATAATTGACAATAAAGGTTCATAAATTTATCTACAAATTCTACATGTTGAGTAAATTTATGACTCAAAAATTGCTAATCACTGTCTACAAATCATTAGTGGAATCAATTGTAAGATGCGAAATCACAATATGGGGAGGGTTATTTGATGCAGCACTTTATCCTCTGAAAGACTACGTCAGTGTAAATGCGTAACTTTTTTTTTTCTGAAATGTGGATTATAATTCCATTTACTACCAAAATGGCAGCTTTACCATCTGAGAAATACTTATTTTATTAAACTAAAAAGGGAAACCAACCTCTCAAATGTGGCCATCTTCAATGAGAAAATAAAACAACTCCAAATATGTGGGATTGATTTAGAGTTGTTTTATTTTCTCACTTATTTTATTATTCATCCACTGAGTTTGGGATCTTACTATTGCATTTTTCACTTTTATTTAACATAACATTTGAAACGTAAAAGAGCAGTAGAATATTAGGTCACTCATTTGCGGGTCGTTCTCCATGATGCATAGAAAAATTGATAGGAATTAAAGGGAAGAACCGATTTTAACTGTTTAATGACGATTTTTTAAAAATTAGAGAACAATTTTACATCACTACTAAATCCAAATTAATTTAATTTCCACAACAATCTATTATAAATGACTCTAAATCTAAGAAATAGCGTCAGCTTGGTCCTTTGTTTTCTTCATTCAGACCTATTCTATCCACTTTTTGGTGGGATTAAGGATTTTTATTGAAATTCTATAAAAAATAACTAGTATATCTTTGCATTTTTAGGAGTCTTTGCACATGCGTCGTCCGTCCGTAATGAAAATACTCTCCTCTTGGTAGGAGGCTATCACGGGAACGTCAACGGCGATCTCCTAGCGTACACGGTACCACCGATGGTAGCAGCCCGCAAAGGGGAACCCTACGATCCAGAAGCAGCTTGCGTGCGTCACAAAAATTATGGAGAATGTTCAGCCGATCCAGAATGCGGATGGTGTTCCGCCGACGAACAATGTTATGGAAGAACCATTGGAGCGAATTGTACAACGAATCTGCAGACCACTCGGTGTCCTGGGGTGTGCCCGGCGTTGGCAGATTGTCATTCTTGCTTGATACACGGGCATCCATTGCCTCAGTACATGCAGATTGTATCGGCAGCACACAAATTAGGTAAGTTTTTTATCTGTTTAAATAGCTGGAAACATAGCTACCTAAAATTTCAAGAAAATATTTTTGATATCTCGTTTATTATTTTTTTTTGTCTTTCTTGATACTTTTCATATTTATTTTTCAACTTTTGTTTGGAACAATTTTAATAATGTTTTTATTTTTGATTGATGCCGTAATTGGATTATAAAGTATACATGTAGAAATTAATTTTTATTCGAATTTTCTGATTGATTTACACTTCCAACAAAGTTAGTATTTATTTCTACACAAAACACGTTACCATAGCAACGATGTCATATGTCACTATCAAACAAATAATTATAATACCTTGACATAATAATTATGCAATCCAATGGCCTGTCAGAATGGGCAAAAATGACAGATGCTTGGCGAAAACAACAAAGCTTCTTAACCTGCCTTTTTAATTAGTATTTGATTGTTATTGCAAATCATGCAATTAATATTCTATATATTCAAAATAAATATTCATTTATGCCATTTTTCAACTAAACATACCGAAAACAACTCTAAATACTCCAAAAAAATAATACAAACTTAGACTAATAACCTCACTAGAAGTGTTTTTGTCAAGGGAAACACGTTCTTTTGTTGTTTTTGCCAAGGGTCCACCATTTAAAGTCACGTGATTTGGATTGCCTAATTACAATGTTTTTATTATGTCAAGGTGTTTCTTGTACAAACATTGACCATTTAGTGTTTTGTGTAAAATAATTTAAATATTAATGGCGATAGTGCTACTTTTTAAAAATATAATATTACTAGATAGTATTAATTGACTAAGAGTTAGATTACAGAAGATAATAATATTTTGGGATAATTAACAGTTAAAAAGCAGTAACGTGCTACTTTTTCATAGAATATTACATATATTTATCAAGATTTATGTATTTATTTATTTAAATAGTTTGTAAATAGTACAGTGTATCCAACCTAACACAAACAACTATAATGAGATAGTTAAAAAACATAAAACATTACAAAAAAGAAAAAAAACAAGCCATTACGAGTAGAACTTAGAAGTTCAGGAGTTGCAAGTCTCTTGTTAGCGCTAAAATATTACAATGAAGTAAATCACAGTCCAATCGCCTCTGTTCATAAACCTCAATGTCTAATTGTTGGGGATGGTAATGCAAGAGGTCTTATTAATATTGTAAAACAATTAACTAAGACGAAATATGATATTAATTGTCAATGGTCCTTAAAATCTTGTTTCGAGGAATATATTAAGAGATGTCAAACCTTAATAGAGAGTTATTGCAAGTTCACTTAAGGTCAGTCACTATTAGTGCCGCTCTTATTTTAACATCTGAGCATGCGCAGACCACTTACATTCTAGAACTGACTTTAATAAAGATTGTGCCTGTCCTTAATTGTGGATGTTTAAGGACAGCAGTTAGTGGCGACTTTATATTTTTCGGGTGCGCTCGCCAACATTCGTATCGGTTCGAAGTTTTTTAATATTAAATATTTAATATCTTCTGCATCTAAACCTTATAAAATGGTAATTTCTAATGTCTCTTCCATATTATGTACTATTATAAACAACAGAAAAGATGAACTATAATTTAAAATTTTTAAAATGAGGTTAGAAATATGTATAAGGACAAGGACTCTAATGTCAAAATTTCAGGTTTGCAATAAGTCTCATTTTAGCATGGAATTTATTTACCTGTAATTACGTTGTCACTATTAGTGGCTGACGTTATAGAAATTTGCAATATCTCTATTGTCTAAACTAGGTAAGCATGACAATGTAGCTTTTGACAAATCGGTGTCAACCTGGTAACCATTTTCAATTGACCTTTCCCATTATTCGACAATTTCGCATTACTCATGTGCAAAAAAGCGTGGACTTTTGAATCTAGTAATTTTCCAAACACTTTTTGCTATATCTCTCTTATTATCGCTTTACAACTGTTGGGCTGGTTACGACAATTACCACATAACATTGTTACTTCAAACAACTGTCATCGATTCTATATATTAGGGAGCCAGTGAAACTTTTTTGGTACACATTTGCACAAAGCTAAATTATAAATTTATCTTTAATTCTTATCCTGTAGAAGATGGAAATACTTTACTGCAATCGATTTAGCGGTGATGATAGAAGGTACTGTGAGCAGAATTTGAAGAAGGTGGCAGCAAACTTTTGTACTAACTTTTGATGTAAATAATATCTGAAAGTTTCAAGTTTGAGCTTCTATGAGATCATTGCTCCATTGATGCGCAACAAACTATTTCCAAGTTCTACAAGGTTAGAATAAAAGATATATTTGTAATAATTTTACCTTTCACAAATAACACACCTAAAAGTGTCACTGGCTCCCCTATCAATACTATCAAACACAAAAACAAAATAACATTTACGGAGGTGTAACTGGAATTAGCGGTAGGAAACATAACAGCAATAAATATTGATGCTTTTAAGCGAAAGTAGAATTTGCGCATTAGTAATAGAAATCATCAATAACGAGTAAGGTTTATTAACATTATATTTTTCATTAAAGCAACAATCATTTTGCAGGTATATAAAATGTTTGTCCTTTACAAGAAAGGAGTGCTTTATATTTGTATACTTTATAACATGTCCAAATTTTTTTTTAATGAGCCCCATCTATTTTTAATATTATACTATTTATGCATGTTCCTCATGAATTCCTAAATTGTCCTAGTATACAGTCGTTGATAAATTAAATTGAAAAATAGGGAATGTTAAAATTTTAAAGATAAACAAATCGAGCACAACAAATTATACAAAGCACCTATCATTTAAAGTTTTGACAATTATGACAGCATTGACACGGCTGCTGTCATGGTTACGTTGCTTTGTTTAACACACTATTGACGTCACACCACTGTTTTATTGGCAGCTTTTAATAATTATTCAAATCCGAAGGTTTAGAAGAATGTACATGGTGCGTCCAAAATGCCAGATGCCATCACAAAGACGACAACTACGGGGTTTGCGGTTTACAAGAAGACAGTCCCAGTCAAATACCAGGATGGTGGGGCGCGAAAGGAACAGAAGTCGTTAGTCCAGATCAGTGTCGTGAGTTGGACAAAAGACCTGGTTTGACTTTCGTCAAATATCATTATCCCGTCAATTATTCACAACCTGATAACGTTGCAATTATTAATGCTACTACGGTAAGTAAATAGATAGACAACAATAGTGTGTTGCCAATTTAAAATTAAGTTATAGGATTTTGGCGCATTGTTGGTGTTTGAAATTTTATATCGTTTTATTTTAATTACTGTTTTTGTTTAAGGTGGATTTTGTGAGTCCATCGAGCTCTCTACCTCGCGGCGATTTTTCCAGCGGCGGAGAAATGGTCGCCCGACTCTTGGGCTTCCTAAGACTTCCGACATCTTGGCAAGAAATGCTAAACGTGTGCGTCAGTTACTGCTCAGCTACTTTAACTCTCTCCGATTATTTGGTGGCGAATGTCACGCCCGAGGTGAAGGATGGATGCAAAGCTGTTAAACTAGCGGATAATTTTAGTTTAGATAAAATTCCGGTAGATTTTAAATCAAGGAAAATTGTGAACATACAAGCGATATACATGCAGCAGAATAAAATGGAGTTGTCACATTACAAGGATTCCGAGGAGGCTTTCAAAGTAAGTTTTATAATATACTTTAAAAGTATTGAACCAATATTTAATTTTAACATCCTAGTTTTTTATTACTTAAGAATATTTGAAAATAATGAATTTCTTAAAAGCCAGAGTAGGTGAGATTATAACAAAAATGAAAAAGCATAAATAAATCGCAATTTGATACAACCCTATGTTACTATTTTTAAAATTGAATTGATTTATCCATAGGTTTTCACATTCGAATACTTAGAACCTTACGCGAACGGCACATGTGAACAATACAAAAACTGTCTCCACTGCCTCACCGACTCCCAATGCGGCTGGTGCGAGTTGACCAACACCTGTCAATCTCGTTCGGAAGACGAAAACGTCAGTTGTTCCCTCGACGGCAACTGGAAGTACTTAACATTACAACCGAGCGCTTGTTCAAACTGTTCGAATTACATATCATGCGATTCCTGCATAGAATCCAGGTTGTGTGAATGGTGGATAGAAGAGGCGAGGTGTCAAAGGATTGGACAGAGGGTCGACGCTGCCGTAGCGCTGGAACAGTGTCCTGTGCCGTGTCATAAGAGGACGGATTGTGGGTCGTGTTTGGATCAAAAAGGTTAGCGACAGTTATTATGTTTCTGTATCTTTTTTGTCACAACATCTAGTGTAAAATTCACAAAGTTTGGTTGAAGGGCATAATCAAAACAAGCACAAAAATTAGGACTAATTAGATTGCCTAAAAAGATTGTGGATTATGGTTTATTTGCCATTTTATTTTTAACAATAATATTACATATACGTATAGAAATTAAAGATTACAGCAAAATGTATTTGTCTTATATAGGTCGCTGCGTTTGGTGCCAAGCCACCCAGCAGTGCTTCAGTTTCTCAGTGTATACAAGCGAATACCAATTTGGGCTATGCCGTGAATGGATGGATCAAGCATTTCCATTAGTTACCAGACAGGAGAATGGCATATTACCAGTACCAAAAACACAGGAACAATGTAAAACATGTTCCATGCATTCTAATTGTTCAACATGTTTAAGATCTCTGAGCTGTGGATGGTGTTTTAATGCTTCAAACCCTATGGCAGGTAGGTCCTTTTGCATATTAAATTAGTGTTTGTTTACTAAACATTACGTTTACTTAGGTGTATGTGTGCAAGGAGACTTTAACAATCCACATGTCAACTGTTCAGTTGTTTTGAATTCCCCAGACGCACGTTGGGCATATGCGCAATGTCCTGATGTCGATGAATGTGGCTTAGGACTACACGATTGCCATGAACAAGCCATTTGTACGAATACTGATGGATCTTTTAGTTGTCAATGTCGAAAAGGGTACGTCATTTGTTAACTATCAAGGCTACCATTTGCTATTGTGTACTTATAAACTGTTTTTATACTATTACTTTTTTATTTACAAATTTTATCCTAAATTCATACTGTATTCAACATATTCTTCACAGGTACATCGGAGATGGGCGGAAAACCTGTCACAGGACGTGTTTTAACGTCTGCGTTCACGGTGTCTGTCAAGGAGAACCTGATTATTCCTGTAAATGCGATTTGGGATGGTACGGAGATGATTGTTCGAAGAATTGTGGTTGTAACAACCATTCAACTTGTCCGCAAGGTGAAGGCATTTGTGAGGAATGCATGAATAACACCCAAGGAGATTTTTGTGAATATTGCACGCCAGGCAGTTACGGAAATGCAACAACAGAACAAGGTTAGTAGAAATCACCTATACACTGCCAATTGTCAGACATCAAAAGTAATTTGAAATCGTTAACATAGAAATGACGCTTTTATTGCAGGTTGTCAAAAATGTGAATGTAATGGTCATGGAAATAAGGATAAAGGAGAATGCGATATGGAAACTGGAATATGCTTCTGTGAGGACAATACCAGGGGCGACCATTGCGATCGTTGTAAGTCAAAATATTTCGGAGATCCGAAGCACGGTAAGCAGTGTTACTTCCAATGTGATAGAGGTTTCTTACGAGAATCTTACGGACAAGGGATCAGTTCAAGACAAGCCTACATTCCACCATGGGGTGGAGCGCCTACAAGAGAATGTTTGTGGATTATAAAACCAGATGTGACATATGGATCGCCGATTATACAGTTACAGGTGAATTTTTAAAAAGAAGTTAATTTTAAAAGAAATTGTCCAAAATAAGTTAACTTTAAACCTATAAAGGAATACTCCAAATAAAAAAAAAATCGGTTTCTGTTTGAAGAACTGGACAAAAAATGTTTTTTATTTGCTATAATTATTGTTATAATGATTGACTATTAATGTTATTGATTATATTGATTAAGTTTTAAATTACTATAAATAAATATACAAAAAAAAAAATTTCAGAGGTCAGATAAAATTGTTAAAAACAAAAATATCCGAAAATCGATATCTTCCGCACATAGATATATTTTTTTACCTGAAATGTTATTTTTTAATAGTTTACTTAATTTATTTATTTATTCAAATAAGTACACTACAGAACTATTATTCTAAATCGTACACAAAATTAAAATATACAGTGTGGTGATAAAGTAAAGAACAAACTTCATAATTGCATTATTTAATGTTTTCAAGCAAAACGTTCGGACAGATCAATTTTAATATTTACGATTTGAACCAATTTGCCAGATATGGTATAGGTATGCCATGCACATTTGTTATAAAATATAAAACCTTTATATGCACTAATTCAAATATTATTTATTCCGAAATATTTTAGTTGTTTAAAAAAAATGAGCTGTTAGTCAATAATTTCAAGACATTACAATTATTGGTATTTACATAAATTTGTATTCTCAGTTATCGACATGTACAACAAAATATTTGTATATTGTTCATCATTGAGTCATCAAAATGACTTTTTATTATGTTTTACCGCTTCCAAGAATACTTTAATTAATCATAAAAATTTAGATGTTTTTTTTTTAATTAATGATATTTTTGAAAATATGCCTATCAAACATTCAATGTCTTCTTAATCTTTAATAAATAATATTTAAAATAACTTTTTTTTGTTAATTTGCAGTGCACCTAGCTATATTTCAGCTAAACAGTCTTTATTTTAAACTTATGAGGCTTAAAACTAAGAGTTCACCCAATGGTATCTTCTGCTTTCTGTTCTGACGAACAATACATTGCACACGTGCATTGTGCTCTGCTTTTACATAATGTCGTCACATCACTAATTCAAATGGTTTGGTTCTTCTGAGCCTTCTCATTAGGTATCGGATGTTCAGGAACTGAAGTACTTCAATATTGACGTGGTCATGTAGTCTTTTTTCATGTTTTTTTTTTTTGGGATGGTTTACTTCTTCGACTGTAGGCATTCTCAGATCTCTGTGAAGGTCTGAGTTCGTTACATACCAAGGAGTGTTTACTATTGCCCTTAATATTTTGTTCTGAAAAGTTTGTATTATATTTATGGTATTTTTGCTGGTACATCCCCATGGCTGTATGTAAGTTCATACTCGCTTCAGTACTTGTTTATACCTGGTATTCTAAATTAAAGCGTTACAGCTATATACCACTTTTTATGAAAAAAAAAAAAAAAAAAAAACGTTTCAGACGAAAGTTTTATAGTTTTGTAGGGAAAACCTTTTGGCTAAAATCGTTTTTTATAGCTAACCATAATATGGCCAACTTTTTTTTCGCGCAGAAACATTTTCAAGTAGCTGTTACTCAAAAAGTAAAAGTCCAATAAAAAAAATATTTCCCTCAAAGGTTTCTTATTTTTTTATTTACTTTAAGAATATGTAAGAAAAAAATGGGATTCCCATTTAAAAAAACAAAGTTCACCTCGATATGGCCATATTATGGTCAGCTATAAAAAAATTAATTTAGCCAAAATGTTTCCTCCAAAAAACTATAAAACTTTTGTCTGAAACTTTTTTTCTAAAATGCATATTTTCGGCGGTATTTAACTGTAACACTTTAATTTGGAACACCCGGTATATTAAAAGTTTATTTTCGATTGAAAGTTTTGATTTTCCATTCATCAAGCAGTATAATTTTCTATATTTAATACCCAACTCTTCCCATTTTTTTTGTGATCTTTCCACTTTAATTTTATATCTAGGTTCATGCCTAAGTATTTCACCGAATTAGATTATGGTATTCTAGTATTATTTAATATCACTCGTAGATATTTAGTCTGATTTTTTATTAGTGAAGTTAACCTGAACTGTTTTAGTTTCGTTGAGCTTAATGCGCCACCTTTTTCTGGCCGATTCTTCTATGGTTTTACCGATGACAAGTATGACTGTGTCGTCAGAAATTGTGGCTACTTTCACATTTTACGTTTGTGGTATGTCTGAGGTAAAGAACTGGCTCCAAAGCACTTCCTTGAGATACCCCTGCTTTAGTTTCGTTAAGCTTCTTGTTTTACTAGGAAGATTCTATTACTCAAGTAGGATTTTAAGATGTCACAATATTGCTTAGGTAAAAGTTTATTTATTTTATATTCAAAGCTTTTTAACCATACTTTATCGAAAGCCTGAGGTACATCTAGTAAGAGTGAGGTGCAGATCTTCTTTTCTTCCAGTGTTTTGTCTATTTCATTCGTTATTCTATGGACTTGATCAATAGTGAAATGCTTGTTCCTAAATCCAAATTGGTGGTCTGGCATTATATTTTTACTGTCTATCATGGGTTTTAATCTTTTTAGTAAACATTTTTCAAAAAGTTTTGACAGCACTGGTAACAGGGATATAGGTCTATTTATAGGACTTTACTTCTATTGGTCGTTTCCAGGTTTTTCAGCGACTTTCCAGATGCTAGGTACATGCTGTAGTCGAAATGCAGCGTTTATTATATTAATAAGTTTAACTACAGCTTTTCTTGGCAATTGTTTTAGTATTTCACCTGCGATCAGATCACACCAGAGTTCTTTCTTAAAATTGATATTTTCTTTAATTTCCTTAGCTACATCTTTATGTGTTACCATAGGAATTTCTACTGTTTCTGTGTTCTTGTTTTATTAAATCGAGTCCTCGTTCTTCATTTGGTTGAATTTTTTCCGAGATGATCTGCAAAGATGTCAACTTTGTTTATTTGATCTTGCCCAATTTCCGTTCTCTTCTTTTATTGGTGGTATGTGGACTATTGAACGTTTAAGTTTCCTAGTCACTTTCCTCAGAGAGTAATTAGTATTTTTGTCTTTCGTACATTTTCTGAGATATTTGTCTATTGATTTTTTTAATAGTGAATATTTCTCTCTTTAGTTGTTGTGTTAGTCTGTTGAGAACTACTTTATCTTCGGGGAATCTGGTGATTTGCCATTTTTGTTCTTGCTTTTCTCTTTTTATTTATTATTTATTTATTAGTTCTTTTATTTCCCTAGGGTATAAATTGCCTACATTTTTTCATGTAATTTCTGGTGTATTGTTCCATGACGTTTGCTGTATGTCAATTGCAAATTTTTCCAGCTCGTACTCTGGTTGTTCTTTTGTTTTTAATAGTGCACTTAGTTCAATTCTATTACTTACTTCAGCTTTAAAACTTATTCAGTAAATCAGGTATTTTATTTCTGTCAACAGGTTGGTTTTACTTTTGACTGGTAGTCACACTCAATTTCACTTGCAGATGCATGTAATTCCCTACCTTTGGTTGTTAATATCGTGTCTCAGATGATATTTTTGGCATTAAAATCACGTCCCGAGATAAAATTTTCTCCCATTTGTCATAAGAGTTCTCTGTAATTTTCTTTGTTTTTATGTTAAATGCTGTTACCTGTATTTATTCTGTTTCTATTTTGTTCTCGTCATAATGGTTAATATTTTCTTTCATTATTACGGCGCTTCCACCTCTAGCGTTACCCGACGGATGTATAGTACTATAGACTCTATCCTTTAAATTGTACATAGCTTTGTTATGTTAAATGTGTTTCTGATATTAGACAGATATTTTGTTCTATTAGGAACTAGGAACACCTGTAGCTCTTCTCGATGGTCAAAGAGTTCATTGGCATTCCGCGTTACAATTATTAAATCTTTACACTCCATTATGGATATATAGACGATTGGGGGAAGGTAGTTTCCTCTAATCTGGTACTTCTTTTAAGATTTGTATTAAGCATAGTCGTTATTTGGTTCGTTGAAGATTCGTTTTCAGTTTGATTAGGTCTGTTATTACTAGCCAAATTTGCATTATTAATGATAGGACGTCTGGTTTGGTTATTATTTCTATTATGGTTAGTTTTGCTTACCTGGACTTTTCTGTATTGAATCTCTTTTGCGACTTCGCTTGCTGGATGTGCTTGATTACAATTTGCGTATTTTGGTGGTATACTTGCCGGGTTATCACACTCTTGTAAGATGGGTTTTGGCACACACTGGTTGCCTATTACAAAATTGTTCACGTTATGCGTGTCTTTAATAAAGATGTCACGATTTACGTGTTATTTAATAATTAGGGACCAGCTATGAATCCGGGCCTCAATCATGTAAACACTATTTAGCCTTAAACTTCGTATAAGGGTTCTACTCTTGATGTTAGAACCTAACCCGTCCCTGAAAAGCAGCTGAAGAAAACAGTGTTCTCAAAACAAATATAATATAATTTAAAACGATTATACAAAATATCTCCTAACTCGACATACACAAAGAGCTCAATATATTAACAAATAGACGATACAAGATTAACTTACCAACTTCAATAAATATCTTGGGCACATGTCACAACCCACAACCCACTTTTAATTTAAACTATAGATAACTTGAGCTGGGGCTGCTACAGGAATCTTCTATAAGGAGGGCCTCCTATGGGGAGGATCCTTTCCTGTGGAAAAAGCCCTGCGCGTCCCCTCGACATTACCTTCATAACTTCATAGTTTAATATTATGAAACTATTCTTTAATAATTATTAAATAACCAACCTTGCACCTGATTGCAATTTAAAACAAATTGTCGCCATAATTATACAAAGTTTTATGTACATGGTGTTATTTAAATAATTAATTAAAATTAGGAAAAATATGAATTTATACGAAGCGTGACAATATGCCCATATCTTTAGCACCGTTTGCATTGGGGTATCAGTTTTGGACTTCTCACTGGCTCCGTTTGGATTATTAAGTTTCGTAATGTCTTAATTTCGTAAATTCTTTTAATGTCTTCGCCGTTTCAAATGTTAACATAAATAGCGTTGTTTTTTTTTGTGCAATACTTTGTTAAGCGTTTTTATTTGGGGTTTTTAAGTTTGCTTCTTTTTGTACGTTGTATTGTACTTTGCTTTTGTTTTGAGGTGACACTTCAGGAGATTCTCGCATTTTTTATTTCTTTTGTTTCTTTGTACTATCCAAGCTGTTTCTTTATTGACTATTTCTTCTTCTCAGTCTGTTAAGATATGCTGTTGTTACTGTTGTTGCATACCTAACATCATTTCCATTTGTTGTATTCTTAATTGCATTTCCTGCAATTGTTTAGTCAGACTCTGTATAGCTGATTCTTTCTTTGAGAGTATATCACTATATTTCTTCTCAATTTTTTCCTCATCTTCACTAACTGTTGTTTCCATATTAGTTTGGCTCTCCTGTATTGTTTTGGGCTAAAAGTGCTTCAGAAGATACGGATTTATCGATTTTCTCTACACATTTTAAAAATATTTTTATTGTCACACTTTTATTTTTGTTTTTAATTAACTTTAGCAATTATTGTTTTTTTTAATGATGCCAATTTAGCACATATGTAATACATACGCGATTGATCTAGAGCTAGATTCTGAGCGGTCTTTTGAAATATTCAATCGCACTGTACGATAGTCAAACGAATACTACAATATGCCTATCAAAAATTCAATATCTTCTTAATATTTGATAAATCATGTTTAAAATAACTTAACCAACATTAAATTAAACACATATTCTACGAATTCTTTGCAGCCGATGCGACATTCTAGTTCGTCTATATCGGTTAATCTCAGCGAGGTAGAAAGAGATATATAAAGAATTGGACTACAATATTCTGATACAGAGTTAGGTCATAAAATTTTTAGTACAATATCCCTGTATAATATCATCGAGAGGCACTGTAACGACATTCTCTCAGTAGCAAATCTTTTTTGAATTGAATTAAGACATAATTATTTAGTGCTTTTTTGGGGCATCTTCAAAGGAAAGTTGAATTTTTTGTTTCTCTTGCTGTGTCCCTTTATAGTTGACTTTATGTTTAATGCAATTATAATCTTTTTTAGATAAATTCGTCACTATTGAATATAACATGCGGGGAGAACGCTGTCTACGTTTTTGATGGTCTCCCGGAACTATTGGATATGGGCAGCCAGAGCCCCCTGTCGGCCGTTTTTTGCACAGAAGAAGCCCTTCCGGTGTCTACTGTAGAATCTCGAACTGGTAAGTTTTACAATGATAAACTTGAGTGTAAGACCATCGATCACAAGTGCTGTTTCTACTTTTTTGTTTCATCAAATCTTTTGTTTTGTGTAATACTTTTTCTTCCTCATTTTATTCCTCTCATCGTGTGAGAGGTCTTTGTTATATCTCTTCAAATCTTAACAGAATAAGAAAGAAAACTAATTCTTAACCACAAATATATTTTTATCATCTAGGGCAACTAGTTTTGGCCAATTTGACCATCACCAGGCTGAACAAGTGGTTAATAAAAGAGCAATAATGTCGCTTCAATTTTTAAATTTTATGCTTGATGGTCAAATTGATCAAAAAATATGTTTGTGGTTGACTTTTTTTCTTTACCGGACGTACCAAATTTGAGATATGGGTAATATTACTTTTTTTAATGTATAAATCATTTTTAACTTTATAGTTATTGTAACTTGACAAACCGGGCCCTAACCTAGTTTTCCAAATACCCTTAACCTTGGCCTAAATTTCGTCTAGTGGACCCCCACGAAGTGATGTTAAAACCCCCCAGAATTACGTTTAGAGTTCAATGTAGCTGTAATGGAGGAAGAACAAAGGAAACACCGAGATTAATTTTGAATACTGTTTATTTAACATCTATTCTTTTGTACAGCCGGACATTTAGATTATGTGCCGTTTTTAGGCTTAATATTAATGTAGGCTTTCCAATGTATCATTTCTAACCTCAGAGCTTTTAGTTCCCATAAAAGGGTAAAATAAAAGTCGGAAGTACTTTGGTATATTTGTTTGTCTCCTAATATACAATCACACGTTTCCACGGAACTACTGAATTACGCATTGTCTAATAAAAAAGAGTACAGCGGTAGCACGAGGAGTGTTGTGAGATATAAAATATTGCGTCGAATTGAGAACCTACTCCTTTTTTTGAAGTCGGTTAAATTTAAATATATGTAAAAACTGGAGTGTAGATTTACCTCACCGTGCGTCACGCCTTTCTCTAATATTCCAATGCCGTAATGTACTGACATACTCAGTCCTGTATGGAAAACACTGAACGGTCGATCGGAGAACCTGATATAAAGGGGATGCCCGTCAGGCCCACTTTTGGGGTATCTCAGTAGAGATCCATCCAAGCCTCTATCAGGCTTTAATTTACATAGCCGCAAGGGAAATACCATTTTTAGGCCCTTACTATTGAGGTCCCTGGCGGTCTATGGTGGCCTAAGGCTTCTTTTTCGGCGCGATGCTCTTTTGCTCTGTCGATTGACAAATCAGTGTTATTAATCACAGTTCTGAGGATACGTTAGGTAGTCCACAAACACAATTTCACCTATTTATTCTAAATAAATAACAAACATACCGACTTCTTCCGCGTAATGTCCCGCTAAAGATATGTGGATATGTACAAATAAATACGACCCTCAATATTCATGATTCTACCCGCTGCTGTACATATCTCCTTTTTTCCGAAAAATCGACACACAAAACTAACACTCCTTACGGCTAAAATGACACATTTGTCTACCCAATTTTGTTTTACAAAGAACGACAGAAAACATATTTTTTTAACCACACTTTAAAATATATACAAATCAAGGCATTTACCCTACTAATCTACATTTGTTTGCCATTTAAAAATAATACCGAAACTGCGTTTCCTCTCTACTGAAAGGAGCAGGTACTGTTTACAGACAACCGAAAACTTTACAATTCGGCCCTTTGGCCATACATCTAAATGACTTAATTTATTACTTGAGAGTGTTGACCGACTTTACAACAATTAATATTTATGACAACAACATCACTATCGATTCTCTAAATAATATAATTTAGCACATTATAAAACCCTTTAATTTTTCCCACAATAAAAGTTTATCAATGAATACCAAAAATATGACAATAACACAGACGCGAATTTTCCCGCTAATGAATATAAAAGTAATAAAGTGATACCTGTAACCCATTAATGTTAGTCTAAACTCTCCCCCGGAATATCTGAATATTAAATACTAGTTTGATTACTTTAATAGTGCGATTATCGTTTTAATTCTATGTAAAAGAAACCTTACAAAAAAAAAGTATACCGCTGATAAAAGCGTCTACCGGGCGCAAGTTCGTCGGATCAGCCTGAAGGGTGACGAAATCCACTACGAACGTCGCCTAGAGTAGTACTTTTAATCATTTAGTAACATTTTATAATGTTGAATCGGAGATACAAAATATCTGGCGTTTAACTAGACTAGCGTGGTATTACCAGTATTAGTTACGCCAATATTTTAGTCGCTCGGTAGATACAACCTTACAAAACAGTTCTAGGAGCGAAATCTGGTTCTATTCAACGTGTATCTGCTTGGTCAACCTGACTATATATCTCCTTTTACTTATATATAAAATATAAGAAAAGGTGGTCATCCTAAGGATAACTGGATATCTATGCAGATGCCGTCGTTTATAGAAACTAATTTCTCTACTCCGTCGATATCTTTTATTTCCGTTGTCAAAATATAACAAAAGCGCGGCCACCGTAAGGGTAGCGATATCTCTTTTTAATTATATTTGAAGAATATAAAGAAAAAGGAGTCACCGTGGCGGTAACGTGGATATTTGCGTTTTTTGTTAACTTGACTCGGCGAAGATGAAAAAGCTAATGTTCCTCCAGCCCACAAAAACCCCGGTATTTATACTTAAATTTCCCATATATGCAAATGTATCAGACAGAGAACGACTGTGACTTCGGTGTATAAAGACTATAAAGCCCTGTATTAATTCCTGAATATAACCCTATCGGTGTACATGTGGTTTTTTAGCTAGCGGCCGTTACAGTCTCCACGTCTTCTTTTCCCAGAAGTAATTAAACGGCGCCTACGAGGCGGGATACGCTGGGATGTTGTTTGAATTCGAAATAAAAATTTGAATATAATATGTAATATATAAGAATTATTTAAATTAATTATCAACCCCCGGTTGTCGGATTTCATTATCTCGAATTTTAATACTCACTGAAAATTTTAATTAATTAATTAATAAATCTTTATAGGTCAACTAACAGTTCATTACAAGCAAGGTCAACCGGGCGAAAGCTTTAATGCCTTCTACAAAGTGATCAGTTGCGATGATTGCGAACCACCTAGAGAATGCAAGAATGGTCAGTGTGTGTGTCAAGATGGGCTTGTTGGCTTCAATTGTGAAGAAGTAATTTGTGAAAATAACTGCAATCATGATTATAGTCAGGGAAGCTGTGATAAAAACTATGGAAGATGTTTGTGCGCCGAAGGGTGGACTGGTCCTTCTTGTGACGTAAGGTACTGCATAAATTATCGCACCTGATGATATGGTGGGTTATAAATTCGGGTTTATTTTAGGAAATCAAATTCTCAAATAATATTTACCGAGCTCTTCAATACTATAAAACTCTCAGATTCTCTGGAACATTTTCGAAAAACTTTACCACGTTTCGGACACTCTTTGGTATCGGATCGTAGAGGAGCTTTGTGGATGTTTGGAGGATATTCTCTATCTCATGGTCCTCTAAACGATGTCCGATTATTCGATACCAAGAATCTCACTTGGATGCAAGTTACTATAGAATCTACACCAGATGCAAAAATGCCGATGGGGCGGTACTTTCACGGAGCCGATATTGGTCATACACAGACTATATATGTGTATGGAGGACTGTCAAAGAAGCACAAGAATTTTAGAAACAGGACTTTGGATGACTTTTGGCAGTTCGATATTCAGAACCAAAGGTAAGCCTATTTTTTTATATTTTCTGTTGATTTGTGGATTTTATATAGGATCCATGGAATAAAGGAATTTAAGGAACATACTTAACCTATATTTCTGGATATAATTTTACTATTGTGATCGTATGGTGTAATTTCTATGCTTTTAAATTATGTAATTCTTTTTAGGTGGAGTGAAATTGAAAAATCTGACACCTGGCCTCCTTCAGTATGTGGGCATACACTCACTTATCACAAAGCGCAAGAAAGTCTGATTTTAATCGGGGGAGTGTCCCCGCAAACCGGTTTTTTAAATATGATTTGGGCTTACAAATTAAATAAAGACAAGGATCATAAAGAACAGTGGATTCCGATGAACACCAGAGGACCGGGACCATTAGGAATTTTTGGACATTCTACTGTGTATCATTCTCAAAGCAATAATTTATTTGTGTTTGGTGGGGTGGTGTATGAAAGGCAGTTATCTACTACATCGAATAATCTTTATATGTTTAGTTATGATAATAGGACTTGGACGTTGTTGACAAGTTTGGAATCATCGATACATTGGGTAAGTTAACTATATTAGCAATTACATTGACCTTTTTACTGTGTATTTTAAAAAATTGAAATTAATATATGTTAAATATACATTTTTAACAAAAAGTATTCTTAAGAGCATACAGGACGCATGCGCATTTACCAAAAATTTTGATTACTTCTCATGTCGTTAATAATATATGCATGGATACAATATTTCACTAGTAAATGGTAAAATTAATACTTAAGACTGCTACAAAGAGAAAATATAAATATTCGGCAAAATATGGGTTTAATAGATTTTTTGTTCCAATATTTTTTATCTCAATGTAGCAGTTTTCTCTGCACAAATACGTAAATATTTTTTCTACAAAGTTTTTTTTTAAATTAACAACCAATTTTAAATGAGAAGGAATCCCCAAAATTACATATACCCCTGAAAAAAGCGCTGCGACAGGTCCACAAAAAAAAGTGGTCTGTGCTGGGTGTTCGACAAAGATTTTCCGACGTATTTTTTACCGCTGAACACGAATCTGAAATCAAAATTGGGGTCAAACTGCAAAAAACGGAGAAAAATTAAAAAAACCGATAAGATCCATTTGATTTTATCAACAGTTTATTTATTAATAATTTATTACACTTATTTATTTATAACAATACTATTCTAATTTATATTTCGAATGTCTTTGAATCGTTCACTATTTATATTCACAGTCCATATAATAACTAACTCTGCTGGGTCCTCCACCAATATTTATATACAAATTTAAAAAATTGGCGAATGTACTAGAAAGTTCACATATTCTCACCAATAGACTAGAATCATTATCCCGTCCTTTCTCGAATAGTCATCGAAAGCACCTCCGCCATAGTCGTCCCATGGGTTTGGTCTTAAGGGGTTTAATTATGTATAATAATCGGATAAGTTGAGCCTCAAAGGCCAGATAAGACAGAAAGGGACTTGGAGGGTTAGAGCATGACTGAATAATGAAATGGCTCACATAACAATACTTTGTTTAATAGCATTTAGTCTTTTTTCAAATTTTATTTCTTGATTTCTCTTTTCTTGAGTAGATTTCATTTTCTAGTTCTTCTAGATTTGATATTCTTTTTCCTTGATCATTTGCCTTCGTTATTATCTTTTCCGTGTCTGCAGAGATGACATTTCTTTTTTTAAAGTCCTTCTTGTTTCTTGTACTAGTTAATATTTCTTATCCTGTTCTTTTTCTATTTCATTTATTCTGCCTATCATTTCTTCCTTATCTTCCTTTCTATTTTCTCCATCTTGTTTCTCATTCTTTGTACTTCTTCCATTAATATCTGTAACACATCATTCTACCATTTCCAATTTTTCTTTCTCTTTGTCTTCTTCTATGACTACATCTTCCAAATTTTGCTCATTCATGTCTCCTTGTCCTACTTGTTCTAGGTTCTTTTCATGATTTCTTTCGTTGTCTTCCATCCTCCTAACCTTCCAACCTTCTTTCCTCCTCTCATGTCATCCATCCAATCACTTTTTAAAACTTTTACATCATTTTACCAAAAACTTTTATATAACGTTTATGACAAACTTTCAGTTGTCTGTATGATTATTTCTTGATTTTCTCTTATTTTCTCCAATTTAATTTCACCCAACTTTCCCAAACTTTCTATCCCAAATTTTGATTGCCTCTATTTAAATATTTCAAATTTCAACATACACAAATACAACATGCACAATTTTCACATTATTCTTATACCAAATGAATCGACAATCTAAATACGAATAAAAGGTCTTACCAAATCTGTTTAATATAAAGTTCCCTGCCTTTTAGTATCCTAATTTTGTCTGGTGTTTCTCTTTCTACCAATGCCCCATGTTGGATAGCGACATTTGATCACCCTCTAGATGGAATTCCCATCAATATGAAAAATCTCAAAAGAATATAATTTAAGAGAAAATTTAGATTTTAAGGCACCTTTTTCTTTGTTCCCGCGGGCTTCCTTCTATCTCTGTACCCTCCTTCTATCTCCCAAACTCTACTTCCGCTCTGCTTTCCCCTCTTTACAATTTGCAATTCCACTTACATGGCGATTTTCCATATCAATATAGACAGTTATTGTTGAAGACGATAATGTGTTTCTTTGTAATCTTTTAGCCTCGGCCAAGATTCTTCCACTCAGCTGTTACTACTGAAGACTATATGATGATCATGGGAGGAAAAATATATCCCTGGAACGATACAGACACTTTATATGCCTATTCGTATAATTGTAATCGTTGGATGAACTTAATGTCAAATGGTAAGATTGGTGATGGATAAAATTTATCAGAAATCATAAAAAAGCATAAAATTTCGTTTTAAGACATTGAACGAGTTGGTCCATTTCCCATCCAGACGTATGCCCAAGCAATGACAGTTGAGCCAGACGGTGACGCTATTTATACCATAGGAGGATGGGGTATTGACACCCAGAGTACTGTACTCCGGATAGAGCTGCCCACTGATTTATGTAATCTCTTGCCTAGAAAAACCACTTGCCTCTACATGTCTGGTTGTGGATATTGCGCCAATAAAATTGGAGAAGATATTATTTCTGAACAGTGCCACTCAAATACAAAGGAATGTTCATTGGAGACAGAAGAAAGTGGTAAGTGAAAAATTAAATTTAAATCGCTATTCAATAGGGTATAAAATGCTCTTAAAATTATTTGAAAACTTTTTCAATCAGCAGTATTTATCAAAATTGTTTGGTTATATTTATCACAGTTGTCAAAACTGTTTATGTTTATGACATTTGACAAGGTAATTGTCCAAGAGTACTAAATGAAATTATATAAGGCATTTTCTAATATAATACTGATGTACTGTTGATAGATCACGTGACCTACAAATGGCTGACTGATGTAATCCTGATTTTTCATTGATGGAAATTTTTAAGAACAACTGTTACTTGACATTTTAGAATTTTTGAATAAAATAAATTAATAAATTTAAAACAACGAATTATGCTTTTTATCTGTTCAATAATTTAGGCCTATGTCAAGTGTTACATTAGTCCACCAACCCAAAGAACAGATGCATTTGGTGACAACCATCTGAGAATTTAGTTGAATATTAGAATCTGATTTATTACTAAACTAAAAATTGTTGACTGATAAAAGAACAATTTTGATTTTTGATGAATATTGGATGACATCGATGAATATTAGGAAATGCCTAGCATACAATGTCATATAAAGATAACTAACTGAAGTTTGATATGTATCGGCTAACTAGAAATAAAGAAGGTAATTGAAGTTTAAACAATACCAACCACCTAAGGACAATTCTTTGTCGTCTTAGAAATTAAGAAATATTTACACGTTTTAGGATGATATTTTATTAAGTCATTGTATTTATAGCTGAGTTGTAAGCAAGTTAAATATTGTTTTTAACCAGAAATGAATACGAAAGGAAGATTTGATGGTTTGAAATGAATGTTTAATGATACTATAATCTTTCCCTCGATTATTTCAATCCAGTGTAAGTTTCCTTTAATACTAATTGGCATTTTTATTAATACTACACAAATATTGACAGATTTTATAAAAAAAATTACATGTAAATGTTGTTTGTTTATCAATTCTATCTTTAAAATGGCTTGTTTTCAGAAACATTTGCTATACTAACTAAAACTATTCCTAACCTACACTTTAATGCTTATTTTTATTACTAACTAAAAAAAAAAAAACTCTGATTAACTACTTCTTTCTTTTATAATTCGCAACTTCCCCTTTTTACGTTCATAAATCTCCATTTTCCTTGAACCTAATCATGTAAATTTTATAAATAAAATTTCTAAAATTTTAATATCAACTCCCTATAAAATCAAGAATACTTTTTTAAATTTCACCTTTTTTATTTTTATTATTTAGCGTCCCTTATAACCAACGAAAGTCAAGTATGCTCCTTGTACAACATATATCAGACCACGCCTAGCAACTGTTCAACAATACAAGATTGTACGATTTGTCTACAATCGGGCTCATGCTCCTGGTGTCAAGGAGTGTGTACTAGCGGGACCAACAACTGTAATTCAACCTTAGCCAGTTGTCCGTATAATAAATGCGCAGCGACTGATTGTATACAGTGTCACCAGATGCCAGGCTGCGATTGGAGCTACTCCAGACGCCAGTGTATGTCAGGTAAGCTATAGAAATTTTTTACAAGATATGCATTATCAGGTTAAGAGCGTAAAGGCTCCTTCCTATACACTATCGACAATAGTAGCCATCTATTCTTGAATTTGAGGCAATAGAAAACAGGTTGTTTGCTCTTTATCTGCAACGCCCAAAATTTGTATTTATGTCTCATTTTTCCTTCAAATTTTCAAGAATAGGAGTATTGCGCAATGGTCCATCTTCGATCGCGTCATTACGCTGTTATCCACACGATCTCCCATGTTTATTTACTTTGTCCATTGTTCAAGATGGAACTCGATGATGAGTTGGTTGCAGCTACTGCCATTTATGTGATTTATACATACAGTCACCACATAAACAATTTTAATAATAACATAAAAAGAAAGGATAAAAAGAAGATGGTGGATGCTGGCTGTTCAACGAAATCTTTGTGATTTTTAAATTTAGGGTTTCAAATGGTTTTCTCGCCCTGACACAATTCTGTAAATTCAAACGTTTGATGTTACTACATGTTGTCATTGTAAATTCTTCAAGAATTGCCTTTTTTAGTACCTACTACATTTAAATAGAAACAGAGATCGGCAATCACGTGGACATGCCAAAGCAACTACAGGCGATTAACTTTGATCCGTGTGTGAAAAACTGACAACTCATTGATTACAGACGATTACTGCCAACCATGGTCGATTACAGACAAATAGGCCTTCCACACAATGGTACTAGCCTGTGATCGCCCATGAGGATCGATCGTGTACAGGAGCCATAAAATTAGTTCACCCATTCATTAGTGTTCTTCAGTTTGCGACTGCATCTAATAAGTGATCTTTGGTTTCTTAGACTATATATTATACAATACATGAAGTGGACTAGTGTTTTCTGCCAGATTGCTCGTTTGGTATTGGTTTCCTTTTTTTTTAATTCTTTAGACTTATGAATATTCTTTTTATGTTAAACAAAAAAATATGAAAAGTTTTTGTATAATTTGTCAAAAATAATACAATTATTATTTGTCTAATTCTTAAGAAAGAAAGTATGTTTCAGTTGTTGAAATGTGTATCATTACAACCGCGATGAATGACATTTAACAGGTGTTTCAACTTCGTTCAAAACCCATATAAAAACGAAAGAAGATATGGCACCAAACTGTACGAAATTTTAAAAAAATCCACCAAAGGTCGTTAAAAAATGAAGTATCCTTCGACAAGATAGACAAAAAGCATGAATGTTTTGTGTTTTAACATTAACTTGTATCCATCTTCAAGATATGGCTATTAGATGATTGGTCAATCATTTGATAGGTTATTAAACTAATGTTCAAGGAGCAAGACAGTTATTATGGGTGTATATAAAAACAAAAAGTATGTATCTAAAATAAGCATAGTTCTAAAAAATTCACCAAAAGTCCTTAGCAAATGATGTTCCCCTTTTGACCATTAAAGAACTAGATGAAGACTATAGGTTGTTTCCAATCTATTAATATGAGCATGTGCGTGAAAGTATTTAAAATGATGGGATCACAACTTAGAATATAAAGTAGTACATCACAATTTGGTGCGGGGAATCTAGAGGGTAGGTGCTTTGTAGAAGGGACCACTTCTCTTACTCTAGGTCAAGTGTATATCAGTATACAGGGTCCCTACTATTTCATTTGGACAGCATTGCTATTTCTTAAACCGTTACAGATAAAAAGATGGTTAAATTAGACAAAAGTTGCGCAGTTTTGTACTCAATAAAATGATATCTATAGGGAGATTCAAAATACCGGACAAAAAATGAATGAATTTAAAGAAATGACAATTTTTCATTTTTTGTCCGATATTCTAAATCTTCCTGTAGATATCAAAGGTTTCTGGACATCATTTTAATGAGCACAAAACTGCGCAACTTTTGTCTAATTAAACCAACTTTCTACCTGTTACCGTTTAAGAAATAACAATACTGTCCTTATGAAATAGTAAGGACCCACGTATACGCTTGTCCCGTCCCAATTTGAGAATCGAAAACCAAAGATCGTTAGTAAATGATGTACCCTTTTAACTATTAAAGAGATAAACAAAGCATATATAATGTTTTGTGTTCTAACATCAAGATCTGGTTGTTTATATCTTTTATCTATGTGATTATTGTCGAAGAGTGGACTTGGTTGTAATGTAGTATTCAAAAATATACAAATATTAATTATTATTTTACTTGTTCTTACAAATTGTTAAATAAAAAACATCATAAGAAATTGTGGAGGAAAATATATCTATATATTATATAAAAGTGAAATAACACTCACTGACCCAAAACTATAAGCCCGATTTGGCATAGTTACTCCTTTCTCGACGTACAGACCCACTAAAAACAAGATTTTTTAAACATTACATTTAAAGGGGGAAACGGGGGGAGAAAGTTTGATGGTAGTATCGAATTTTTTAAAGGTAGGAACTTGAAAATTAGAAATGGAGCTACTCATCATAAAATGGAGCTACTCATCATAAATAAATAATGACATATTTCACGGTTTTTGGATACTTAAATTTTAAGGGGGGGCATTGGGGGTGAAAGTGTGTAGAGAGTATCGAATTTTTTAAAGTTAGGAACTTGAAAATTAGAAATGTAGTAAATAAATAATGACGTAATACAAGGTTTTGGATTTTTACATTTAAAGGGGGGAAAATAGGGGGTGAACGTTTGTATCGGATTATAGATTTTTAAAGGTAGGAACTTGAAAATTGGAATTGTAGCTACCTGTTATAAATAAATAATGATGTATTTCAGGGTTTTTGGATTTTTACATTTTATGGGGGTGAAAGTTTATAGAGGGGTATCGATTTTTTTAAAAGTAGGAACTTGAAAATTGTAAAGTTACTCATCATAAATAAATAATGACGTATTTCAGGAGTTTTGGTGGTGAAATAAAAAAATAAATAAAAATAAATAAAAATAAATAAAAATAAATAAAAATAAATAAAAATATATAAAAATAAATAAAAATAAATAAAAATAAATAAAAATAAATAAAAATAAATAAAAATAAATAAAAATAAATAAAAATAAATAAAAATAAATAAAAATAAATAAAAATAAATAAAAATAAATAAAAATAAATAAAAATAAATAAAAATAAATAAAAATAAATAAAAATAAATAAAAATAAATAAAAATAAATAAAAATAAATAAAAATAAATAAAAATAAATAAAAATAAATAAAAATAAATAAAAATAAATAAAAATAAATAAAAATAAATAAAAATAAATAAAAATAAATAAAAATAAATAAAAATAAATAAAAATAAATAAAAATAAATAAAAATAAATAAAAATAAATAAAAATAAATAAAAATAAATAAAAATAAATAAAAATAAATAAAAATAAATAAAAATAAATAAAAATAAATAAAAATAAATAAAAATAAATAAAAATAAATAAAAATAAATAAAAATAAATAAAAATAAATAAAAATAAATAAAAATAAATAAAAATAAATAAAAATAAATAAAAATAAATAAAAATAAATAAAAATAAATAAAAATAAATAAAAATAAATAAAAATAAATAAAAATAAATAAAAATAAATAAAAATAAATAAAAATAAATAAAAATAAATAAAAATAAATAAAAATAAATAAAAATAAATAAAAATAAATAAAAATAAATAAAAATAAATAAAAATAAATAAAAATAAATAAAAATAAATAAAAATAAATAAAAATAAATAAAAATAAATAAAAATAAATAAAAATAAATAAAAATAAATAAAAATAAATAAAAATAAATAAAAATAAATAAAAATAAATAAAAATAAATAAAAATAAATAAAAATAAATAAAAATAAATAAAAATAAATAAAAATAAATAAAAATAAATAAAAATAAATAAAAATAAATAAAAATAAATAAAAATAAATAAAAATAAATAAAAATAAATAAAAATAAATAAAAATAAATAAAAATAAATAAAAATAAATAAAAATAAATAAAAATAAATAAAAATAAATAAAAATAAATAAAAATAAATAAAAATAAATAAAAATAAATAAAAATAAATAAAAATAAATAAAAATAAATAAAAATAAATAAAAATAAATAAAAATAAATAAAAATAAATAAAAATAAATAAAAATAAATAAAAATAAATAAAAATAAATAAAAATAAATAAAAATAAATAAAAATAAATAAAAATAAATAAAAATAAATAAAAATAAATAAAAATAAATAAAAATAAATAAAAATAAATAAAAATAAATAAAAATAAATAAAAATAAATAAAAATAAATAAAAATAAATAAAAATAAATAAAAATAAATAAAAATAAATAAAAATAAATAAAAATAAATAAAAATAAATAAAAATAAATAAAAATAAATAAAAATAAATAAAAATAAATAAAAATAAATAAAAATAAATAAAAATAAATAAAAATAAATAAAAATAAATAAAAATAAAAATAAATAAAAAATAATAAAAATAAATAAAAATAAATAAAAATAAATAAAAATAAATAAAAATAAATAAAAATAAATAAAAATAAATAAAAATAAATAAAAATAAATAAAAATAAATAAAAATAAATAAAAATAAATAAAAATAAATAAAAATAAATAAAAATAAATAAAAATAAATAAAAATAAATAAAAATAAATAAAAATAAATAAAAATAAATAAAAATAAATAAAAATAAATAAAAATAAATAAAAATAAATGAATAAAAATAAATGAATAAAAATAAATGAATAAAAATAAATGAATAAAAATAAATGAATAAAAATAAATGAATAAAAATAAATGAATAAAAATAAATGAATAAAAATAAATGAATAAAAATAAATGAATAAAAATAAATGAATAAAAATAAATGAATAAAAATAAATGAATAAAAATAAATGAATAAAAATAAATGAATAAAAATAAATGAATAAAAATAAATGAATAAAAATAAATGAATAAAAATAAATGAATAAAAATAAATGAATAAAAATAAATGAATAAAAATAAATGAATAAAAATAAATGAATA